AGGGGTCTCTCAAGCCTCACAGTCTCTTTATGAAACCAACTGTGCTGGCAAAGCCAGAGGAGTCTGCCTGCATGGATCAGGTTGCAGACACCTCCACATCCTGCACAGGAATACTGGGCAGGGCACTGGGCCACTGCCTTGCTCGTTATTTTCTTGATGGTAGGAGAGCAATATTAGGACAACAAACTGTTTCAGTGCAAGAGTTATTAAGAAAACAGAAGTATTAAAAAAAATAATCTTAAAGTGGTAGAGTATTTCCCATTCTACCACAAAAATCAGCCCCACACACAAGTCATTACTGGCAATGGCAAGCATGTACAAGTTTTTCCTTTTTTGAGAAACAAGAGACCGAAGAGGGAGGGACAAGTGGGAAGGAAGAAAGAGCCATAAAAAGGAACAAATTGTAATGCACCATTATAATCTTTGAGCATTTTCTCCCTGACAAGCATATCTGCAGAGCATTTAAGATCTGTATGTGACAAAGAGTCAGCCAAAGAGGGAGGAGTAGAAGGAGATGCCACTTGAGCTGGCACATCAGAGAGTCTTTAAATAGAAAAGCTTCCAGGGAACTCGGGGTAGGCACTTGCTGCACAAAACTTAATTACAGCCATAACCATTTGAAAAAAAAGAAATATTACAGCCTCCCCTCACCCCCCCTTTTTTTTAAATCCACAGCAATTGGGTAAGGGAAGGGGGAAAGCCACTGAAGACAGCACAGGACCCCAATCCTGTCATCCTCTGGGGCTTGTGCTTTGGGGTGGAGCTGCCAGCTCCCCCTGAGGCTGTGAATCTCTGGGGACGCTGTACCTGTTAGTCAGTTCCTCTGCTTCCTCTGGGTCCACAGCCGCCTCCTCCTCCTCCTCCTCTTCTTCTTCTTCTTCTTCCTCCTCCTCCTCCTCTTCTTCCTCTTCTTCTTCATCTTCTATGAAGGACGAGGTCTCAGATGCCCTATCACAGTCGGCACCACGGGAGCCCTCCATTCCCTTCCCAGCTCAGGCCCTGTCCGGTGATTTTTACCCCCAACCCTGTCCTCCACAGGGTTGCCTGAAGCAACTGTCATCCCCAGTGGCACTCACTTCTCCTGACTCAGGGCAGTCCTTAAATAGATGCAGCCAAGTTACAGCGCAGAGTGGTCGCTGTTCCTACCCTGGGCCGTAGCACCAACCGGGTGCCAGGACACGTGTCCAAACCGAACGGCCACCCCTCCAGCAGCTCGGCCCCTTCGCCTCCCACCGCTGCCAGAGCTGTTTCTACAGCACACAGAGCAGCCAGGCAGCAGAGGGAGGAAGGGGCTGGGGCCCCAGCAGACCTTCCAAAGCCACCTCTAGAAAATTTGGGGTGGACAGCACATTTGAGGCAGATGGAGAGTTCTCCTATGGCCTCAAGAAAAGGTGCATTTAGCAAGTTCCACCCTTGAGCACACCCAGAATGGCTCAAATTTGACCTAGAAAGGTCCAGTACAATAACTAGTAGATGAGCCTCAGAAAAATGCATTTAGTAATTTATACCATACTGTAAGGGGTATCAGATGCACTGTGACATTTAACCATACAAAAGGAATGTATTTAAAACCGAAATTTGTCACTGTTTTTCATCACACAACATCTAAAATTTCCTCTTTGAGTGGACTTGAACCAATTTTAATTTAAACCAAAGACAAACTATACTACAACGCAGAACTTAGGTTAAGCCACATTTATCCTTTATTATTCTGCATTTTACACAAAATGCAGTGCTTTTCACAGACAAAATGGAAATATTTCCAACATGTACCAGCCAAATTAGTGACAAATTAAACAAAAATATTTTCAGAAGAGGAGGAAAAGCACCTCTGATTCTAAATAACAAACTTCCAAGGTATTTCAGGTATAAACCACTGTATACACAGCATAACCCTAACACCCCCATTATTTTTACCATTCTTTAAATAAATAGGTGGTTATAAATCAGTCAGGAAATTCTTCCTTGTGCTATAAGTATAGAAACACCCAACCAGGTATTTCTGAGTACAAGCTATCTCTGCAAAGGTAAATTAAAATCCCCCCGACATTTCAAAACAATACAGACAGGCAAAATCTTTGTGCTCCCTTGACCTACCCATTGACATACACAATTTAAAAGGTGAGAATGTAACTTTTTTGAAAAGTGTATTTGAAATGAATATTAAACTAAATTAAACACTACATTTTATCATGAGCACAGACAGTGTACACAGCACAATGAAATTTAAGGTAGAGTACTTCACATTCTTTACAAGTGGAAGGCAAGAACATTACAAATTTTCTAGAAATGCTTATATATTAAGCACAAGTTTTGATTCAGTCTTCAGCACAGTAAAAGAAAGGTGAATACTCTTTTACCAGAACCCCTTCAAATTATCTCCAGACCTAGTGCTCTCCCTTCTGTACTTCTCACAAGTTAATTTGTCCTGCAAATTGACCAAAAATAGTGTATTTTTTCACACTTTTCCTACAAGCATCATACTCTGTAAAATCAATGAAGGAAAGATTTATATCAGAACACACAAGGATTAATTACAGAGAACAACACAAACAAAAAAAACCCTACAAAATACAAGACAACCCAGTGCAAGTAGAGTCCAATAAACCAAGAGTGACATTCGCTGATAGACTTAAATTAAACACCAAATATACTGTGAATTCATTCCAATGACCCAAGTATAAGGAAAACACTGGTTCCAAAGAAGCACTTGGGATGGTATTCACAAATACTAACTAGATTTTCTACAAATCACCTTACATCCTTTTATTATGGCTGCCCATTTCTCCCAAATTATCATGTCACCCCATAATGTGAGTCTTAAAATTTATTTATATTGATTTCTTTTTTCAAAAAAAATAAACCCTTATACTGCCAGAATACCTTAAGGTACTGAGAGTACACTTACACATTCACATTTTAAGAAAAGTGAGAACAAGAGCTAGAAGAGAAACTTTAAGTTTCAGTTTACAGCCTATGCCAGTTCTGCATTTCTGTCACCAAAATGGAAGCTCTTGTTAACGTTTGGTCCTCCCATGCACCTCTGAGCCTGTTCATTAAAATTACTCCTGGAGGACTGAAGAGAGTTCTTAAATTCCTACAGAAGACACTACTGGTTTCTGACGTATAAGGTGAGAAAAGACAAGCAAACCCAATGCCAAAATGAGTAGAAAAGGACAGTCCTAAAATAACAAAGAGTTGAACTAAAGCATTTTTATTTTGAGGCAGTTACAAACCTCAAAGACAGCATCTTGCACACACAGTGAAACCTTGGTCAGCCATGAAAAACACCTTTTACCAAATATTTCTCAGAAAAAAATATCCCTGCTAGGGTGTATGCCAAGAGATAAGTGGGTGAAGGTTTTTGTTTTGAAGCTGAGGAGAAGGAAAAACTTCACACTAACACTAAAATTTATGATAGCCATTACCCAATTTCTCCCTCTGGATATTTGCTCAGAGTAGATGAAAATCCAGGTCATTAAACCTCTGAACAACTTTAGACTAAGCAGAACTGAATCAAAGTTAAAGTTCAGTTCCTACCCACTCTCCATTTATTTTGTGGTATTATATTAGAAGTTTTCAGAAAAAAGTTGCAGCCACCATTTAACAAATATGCTATAAAAACAGGCTTGTCCTCAAACAACTAGGCAAATCATAATGTGTTTCTGATTACAGATGTAGCTTATCAGAAGTACATCAACTTCTGAGAAAAACACAAAAGAATTCTTTTGAAAGGCACAGACCATTGTGGTTACAGACCTTGACTTGTAAATTTTTACAGAGTTGCATGTAGGTATTACCAATTATTTTTACTAATTTTTTAAAAACAGTTAGGGGGAAGTGGTTTCCAACACAGAGCATTAATTTAAGGTGTAAGAAATGTTGATACATTAGGCGATGCAATGCAAACTTGTAAGAAACACAAAATTTTGTGCCTGACATCCAGCCCACTTAAAATACATTTTTGCCAAGTTTGAACATGTATGTCCCTTCTTGCTTATCCTACGTTGGGACAGTTTTAAATTTTCTAGACAAAGAGACAGCCAACATATTTTTAAAATAAGAAGCAGCCCCCCCCTTTCCCTGAAGTCCACCTAGGGCTCGTAGAGCATCCTTGATTCCAGATATCAGCCTGTCCTAAAATCTTGTGCTTCAACTTTACATAAAGCAGATCAGAGTGAATGTTTCACTGAGATGCAAGTCTACCATCCTTTAGAGGAAGGGCTGAGAGAGGGAACATCCACATGGAGGGAAAATGTTTCAGTGGCCTGATAGAGTCAGATTAAAAGTGAAAGACTGTTCAAATTACAGAAGGAAGTGTTTTAAAAAGCAAGCCAAATCCTATAGAGACTAGACTATGATGAAGTGTGCAGGAAGTAATCACACATCAGGCAAATAGTTTACAGTTCCTAGAACTTTGAAATAAACTAGAACTTTAAAGTTTGCACGAGAAGTGATAATGCTTGTTATTTTACAGTTATAGGGGTTGCTGCACTATTATTAGTGAATGCAATAAATCAAACTTTTACCTGTTCACAGATGCACTGCAAAATAGCCATAATAGATGTTTATGATTTGCAACATGGGCCCTACCTTACTGACCATTTCCTATTCTACTTAATTATAGGAAATATTTTAAATATGCAGAACAATAACAGAAACTGGAAAAATAACCTGTATCTTCCATATATAAACTTTTATTTCACTGGACACCATATAAAATATTAACTTAAAAAAATGGAAGTATGAATTTGACATCAGTGGTAAGTATAGTTTTAACAACTAATTGGTCTTCAATAGCAAATACATGAGAGGCAGAAATTGTGCTACAGGAGGTCTAAGAGAGGGTGTGCAATTTTTTTGGAAGAGCTCAAATTTTCAATATTACTTATTTAAATTCAATTTACAATGGCTTACCAATTTACAAATATTTACACAAAATCAAATGAGAAGTCCATCTTATTGTAGCATTGGTAGGGTTGAGAGGTGTTTTGATTTGGTCTTTTTCTCCAAAGCAGGCACCACTACTACTTCAAATATGTAAAAGGAAGCACAAAATTTTTTTTTGCCTACTCTGTGTGAATATGAAGCATTTATGTATATTGAATTGAGCTTTTTTTATTTCATCTTCTTCATAGTAGAAATGTTGCTGGAAAATTCCAGTTCAGATTACAGTTCTTAATATCCAGAACACTACCAACCATAATCTAGCTTCAATTTCATAAAGAGTCACTTGCTATTCCAAGTGAAATAAAACTGAAAGTGCCAAGTTGAACCAAAGTGCTTACTAAAATTAAGCAGATGTAAAGCATGGGCTCTCTGTTCACCAAGAAGTGGGTACTGTGCACAGTGCCTTAAGGATGGAGTCAGATTTGCACACTGATTAACTTTGAATGTCTAGTGTTTCATTGTTAAATCTGTCTGAATTAATGGCTACACAGATTACGCAAACAACAAGTCAATATATCCCCGTACTTTCCCTGAAATAGATTTATTCTTGTTGTTTGCTGTGAGTTTCTTCTAGAAGCCAGCAATACAAGCATTTTCAGAAAACATATCTTTGAATGAACAGCTGTATTAACAAATGTCGGTAATAAAATATGTCACATCCTTATAATAAACATTTCCTTAACAAAAGTTTATAGAGAAAACAGGTTGTAAAGAGCCATGGGGTAGATGCCTCCTGATTTTCATACTGTTCTTTTTTTCAGCAGGATCACAAAAAAAAAAAAAGAAAGTGAAAGAAGTTGGTTATCTTTTCAGTTCGTCTGCTCTTAAAGGTAATATACATTTCAGGTCTTTCTTATCTCGTAATACCCGCCAAGCCTGGGGAAAAAAAAGCACAAGGTTTTTAAAAAAAGACTAAATAATCTTTGCCATTAAAACTTAAATACCACTATAAGCAATAAGCATCACAGATCCACAAAAAGAAGGTTGATATCTTCCCCTTCTTGAAAAGACAGTTTGTGGATTGTTTTTTTCTTGGTTGGCTGGTTTTTGGTGTTTTTTAAGGGAAGCAAAATCCAAGATACATAAAACACAATGAACTAACGAGGAAGGTACAGACTTTCAAAAAGACAGTGGATTTATTTTATTATATTATTATATATTTAAGTATTACATTGATATTCTTGCTGCAAAATAGTTGTCTCAAATACACACATGTCAAAGCTCCTGATAAACAGTATTATACGCTGTCATTTCCCAAATGTAGTTGTGTATTTAAAATAGGTTATTTCAACTTTCTTCTGTATTCTAGTGTGAATTTCAAGACATCTGTCAGGCCATGAGCCTGCAAAGAACTGTAATAGTCCTCCTGTTTTTACACAGAATTCATTTAAATCCCAATGTGTAGTGAAAACCAGAGGAAGAATAATCTCTCAAGGACAAAATAGATTCCTTAAGCTTCTTAAAAAATAGTGCAAGATATTAAAAAGTACTTGTACTTTTAGAACAACTGTGATTCTTATGGTGCCTAATAAAGAGGAAATTTTTTCAGGGCTGTATCACTCTCGTATATGGCTTCCAAACAGCTACAAACAAACAGCTGCTTTTATATTTTTCAGAAAACTACACAGGTTTGAAACAGTTTTTGTTCACTGAAAACTTGTAAAGAGAAGTTTCACTCTGATTTCACATAACAGTGAGAGGGCCTAAACTACTTTGTATACATGACTTATAGCACATTCACAAAATCAACTCTTTTATGTACAAGTATGTAAACCAGTTTTTTTTTTATGCTAACATGGTTAAAGAGAAGAAAACTAACGGACATTTCTGAATAGAGTTACAAAGAAAAGGTTATCCTTTTCTGAGTAAGTTAATCTCTTATAGCATTTGTTCTATTACAAGTATCTGGCATTGAATTACTTTTTGTTGGAGAAGTATTCAAGGTATTTAAGGACTTGAATAACTGAAGTAAAGAGGAGTCTCCAAGGACAGCGTAATAGGGGAGTCTTAACTGGTTAAAGCTGGAAGCAAGTTCTGTGCACTAATTCCTAGTCATAACTACATTTTCAATAGTGAGAGATCTCAGAAAACTGATATTTCTGAGATCTCAGAATTGTGATTCCAAATTCAATGCCTATGATAGGAGACAAGAACAAAAGCGGGCAGCAAAGATTTTCAGAAAAAGGATGTTTAGCCAAGATCTAAATTTTTTCTTGCTTCAAAGTATCTTTTCCTCCCCTACCTGGGACAGTGAAAGCTCCAGTTCGAAATATTCATGTTCTAAAAAATTATGAGTATGGTCTCCCTAAAGAAAAGTACCAATTTCATTAAATTGTCAAAAATCAGCAAAACTCCATCATTTGGTGGTGATATTTATTAAAAATGGGACAGTAAGAAGTATAAACCATTGTCTATTACCAATCAAATTCATGTAGGAATAAATAATAATGAAGACTAAGTTGTAATTCTAAAGCATTAGAATTCTATACACACAAGAAAATCTAAGACAAAGGGTTTATTATTTCAAGTACCCATTTCAACTGAAGCCTGATGCTTAATGGCAGACATTAATAAATATTCTTAAAAATAATTTTCCAAATTTTTTTTAAAATCCCACATTTCGATTATTTTTACAGTGCAAAGCACAAACCATGAGAAACTGGCAGGTTTAATGACTAGAATTTGTATACTAAATTGAAAAGCAAAGTGACTGGAAAAATCGAATGAGGTGTACTTTTTACCTGTGCAAATTCACCTCTGATCATATCAAACTTCTGTTTCTCATGTACAGCTCTAGCAGTATTTGTCCCATCAAATGGTTCTGCAAGATCAAACACAAACATTAAAAATGTTAAAAAAAAAGAGCTAGGTTGTCTCCACTAAGCAAGTAATCAGACAAAAAACAGTAGGGTCAACATATCATTGCTTCTCAAGAGTGTTTTGAATAGCCAATTCCACTTTGGTTCTCAAGCTTTCTTTCTACATAACATTTATCAAAATGAAACACAAAACCAAACAGAAAAGCAAAGTCCCAAACCCTGAATGCTCTGAATGACCCTAATGGAGTGCATCCTCAGAGAGTCTGCAAAGAAGACAAAGCTGAGTGGTGCAGTTGACACAACAGAGGGACGGGATGCCAAACTTGAGAAGTGGGGCCCTGAGGATCTCAGGAAGTTCAGCAAGTGCAAGTGCCAGGTGCTGCACCTGGGTCAGGGCAATCCCAGACATGAGTACAGACTGGGAGAGGAAGTGATCGAGAGTAGCCCTGCCAAGAAGGACTTTGGGGATTCTTGTGCTTGAGAGGCGGGACATAAGCTGGTAACGTGCACTTGCAGCCCCAAAAGCCAACTGTGTCCTGGACTGCATCAAAGGCAGCGCGGCCAGCAGGTCAAGGGAGGGGATTCTGTGACTCTGTCCCTCTACTCTGCCCTCATGAGACCCCAACCGAAGCACTGCATTCAGCTGTGGGGTCCTCAGCACAGCAAAGACATGGACTGCTGGAGTAGGCCCAGAGGAGGGACAGAAAAATGATCAGAGGACCGGAGCACCTCTCCTGTGATGAAAGGCTCAGAGAGTTAGGGCTGTTCAACCTGGAGAGAAGGCTCTGCAGAGCCCTTATAACACCTTCCAGAACCTAAAGGGGGACTACAAGAGAACTGGAGAGGGACTTTTAACGAGGGCATGTAGCGACAGGGCAAATGGGAATGACTTCAAATGAAAAAGGGCAACCTCAGATTAGATATGAGGAAGAAATTCTTTACTATGAAGGTGATGAGACACTGGCACAGGTTGCCCAGGAATGGTGTGGCTGCTCCATCCCTAGAAGTATTCAAGGTCTGGTTGAATGTGGCTCTGAGCAACCTGGTCTAGAGGAAAATGTCCTTGCCCATGGTACGGGGTTGGAAAGAGATAACCTTTAAGGTAACTTCAAACCTAAACTGTTCTATGACTCTATGAATGCTCTAATGATATGTAATCCATAATGAAGTCATAATTATCTATTGAAGCATACTATGATTGTTCTGAATTTATGCACCAGTAATTACTTGTTACAGCTCAATAGTCTGTGATAACATATCAGACTATAACATATCAGAATATTATACCAGAATATGACTTTTGAAACTTACTACACATGAGCCTTCTGGAACTATTCACTTCAGATTCATCTCATTCAACAGCTTCTCAGTGAAATATCAAGAATATAGCAAAGTATTTACTATAATTTTTTTATATAACACATATCAACTGCTGTAAAAATATATTTTATCACTTCACACCTATTCTGCAGTATCTGTTCATAAGTTAACAATTTGTGGCTTCTACCTTCTAACCGACTACAAATCTATGTGCTGTTTTTATCCCTTTTTTCCTAACATAATTTATGTAATAGTTTGGAACTTTTTTTTAATTGCAAGATTAAAAAAGTACTCCTTGCTGCTAATAGGGTTGCCAACATTAAAGCAATAGACATTAAAAAAAATGATGATGCAGGGACTACACATTACATTGTGCTACAAAATTGATTGTATAGTCTTCTGCCTTAAAAGAGAACTGCTTAAGTAACATTGTATATTTCACACTGGCAAAATGTATGACAGTCCTTAAGGGCCACAGAACCACAAAAGTATTTGCTAGATCAGGTAGCTTTTTTGTTTAGTTGGTTATGAATTGCTTTTTTTTCAGCTAGGGACACACAGTAAAATAAAGCATTAACCAGACACCAGAAGACTTATGCCATTATGGAGACTGGAATTTCAAATTTGGAACATGTTCCATGGCATTAGGTTTTTATTTCTGCTATTTAAATGCACAAAGAACTTTTTTCATGCAATAGATGTTGTATATTTGGCAGTTTTCTAAAAGGCTTCTCTTCAAACTACCTAGAGTTCAGTGGACATTGACAGGCAGATTTATTTTATTTTAGGATGCACCATACCTTTAGGTTCGAACAAAAAGCCATAATGAAATAAAAAAGTACATAATCCTCTAATATCAGTCACATAATCCGACAGAGTGATCTAGTGCCACTAAGAATTCCATGACCCTTACTATATGAAGCAGTACAGAATTTCTTTTGTCTTAAATGTGATGGTAACTGCTTTTTTAATGCTGTGACCTTTATGTACTTTATATTGAAACAAGATATATTATATCTTAAAGCAACAAGAGCAGAACTGTACAATCTTCTGAAACCATCAGTGGAAAAAAGCTGACTTCCCTTTATTCTTCCTGCATATTTACTGTCAAAAGACAAACTCATTCCCTGGAGCACAGCAAGAGTAGTTTTGCAATCAGCTACTCTTAACACCACTACATTTTCTAACCATCGAGAGAGAGAGAGTTCACTGTAAGTTATTTTGTTCACACAGAGAGATAAGAATATTAAAAGAAAAAAAGTAACACAACTTTAACACTGATGCTTGAGGGAAAGGCTAAAGGGGATCATCTTTCCAAATGAAAATCCAAGAAACCACACAACTTCAAAACTGTTGCCAATCAAGCCCTGAGGAATTCTTTTTTGAATTATTTTTAACATGTAGATCTGAAAGATTTGAAAGCATGAATCAAGTGTAGCTGAGATGGCTTCCAATTCAATTTCCCTAAATGACTATCCATTTAATTATCTCACAAAACTGTCATGTTTCTAGCTTTTCCAAACTGTATCTTTTTCAATATGAGAGTATAATATTACTTGATATAGACAAGATTTAAACTGAAACTAGAATAGTCACTAGCAATTTAGAATTTCTGACAAGGAACGTTCAAAATATTATCTAAAAGCAGTGTTGTCTGTATCTCTGTATTCCCATAAGGGTAAAAGTCTGACAGATTTTAAACTGTCTGCAGAGAGCATCTCTAGTATATTTGTTTCTCTAACAGCAGGAATACATGTGAGAATTAGCCTTAAGGTCAATAACAATTAAAAAAACCCACAATTTTTCTTGAGCAAGCCTAAATACAGTGCTACATGCAGAATTATGGAAACTTGCAGGCATAGACTTGTGTAATCTATAAACAAATATATTTTAGAAATCTTAAAAATATATGCAATAATAACAATTACTGAAATTTTAGTCCGCTAACTGGAAAATTTGACAAAAATTTGGAAACCAGAATATGTTGACATGTTTAGCTAGCTTTTGAAATCTTTTCAAGGTACACATACTTTTTGAGAGTAGTTCAGTTTAACAGCTGTTATAAACATGAAGCTTACTTTGAGTTGAAATAGAAAATTTTATTTTTCCCTTCAAATTTAGAAGTAAAACCTTGCTATCTGAGGCTAAACCTCACTAAGCCTTGAACCATATTGTAACAGGAAGGAATCAGATATGCCACCTATAGATAATTCTGCTTTTTTTAATAGTTCAAATGGAAAATGCATTCTGAAGGAAAAGTTGTATGCAATGAAGGCCATTAAATGCAAAATCTAGAGTTGTTTTTTGTATGCTGATATTCTATTTTCCAACCTGACAGAAAGATAACCTAACTATTCAACCACTTTGTAATGTCCTAAAAATTTGAGAGCTTGAAATACACAGTCCCCTGGAACACAGTGGATCAACATCATGTGACAGCAGCAGACACAGCTGCCCAGCATTCCCACCTCCCACATTCAGATCAGAGCCTTGGCAATGCCTCACTATTCTATCCTGAATTATTTCAGCTGTGCAGATACTCTAATTCTCACATTTCTCAACTCCGAGACTACGAAGTCGAGTGTGCAATCATATGTAAGCGTGGTTTTTTTCTCCTATGAGTGTTAGTTGATTTTTCCCAAAAAGTCAAACAAAGAACAGGAATCCTATCATGTGGGATTCACACTGACATTCATATGATTACAGCCACGTTGGTGAGCTCTAGGCCACAGAATAACCCCTTTCACCAGCAGGTAATTATTCTCTGCACAGAGCAGCACAAAAGCAGGAAATTACATACTAACACACGTGGGTGCATGCCTACCCTCAGCAATCTTGAGGAATGTCTGTTCAGCCACAGGACTTCTGCCTTATTCCCCTCCTCCCCCAGCAAAATCTTCCCAGTGTCTAACAACTCTTTCCATACCATTTGGCTCCTGTTCAACTTCTATTCCTCTTTTATTCTGAAACTTCAGCCCTTGATATCCTGATCTTAACAGCCTCCACTAATTTGCAGCCAGGGCCCAGGCCACCTCTCCCTATATGATAACTGTTTCCACTTACACAGCCCCCCTTAGTCCTTCCTGCTTCTCTTTTCATTCTCCTGACATCTCAGTCCTTCTCTTGGTCTAACAGCTCCTCTTCCCCTAGTGCAAGCTTCATCTCCTATGTACGCTTTACTACTCATCTTCTCCACGTACACTCCCCACAGCAGTTGTAAGGCATCACAAGTACACGGATCAGGTTACTTGGATAGTGCTACTGCCCACTTCTGCCATGAGACCTGGCTGAGATCTGCAACTCTATCAGGTGGCCTGGCTGTACCCTCCCGTTCTGTACAAAGTCTACATTCACAAGCTGGCCAAAAACAGTAGCCACAAGAAGATCAGCATACACATCACTGCTAGGACTTGCAATGCCAGAGCATTTCTAGAACAAAGAATATTCCTCGAGAGTAATCTGAATATGTGCCGGGTGTGTTTTTTCAGAAGTTCAAACTTGGCAAAACTGATGACTATTTTTGTGGAGCAGAAAAACACACGACCGGTATAAAGGCCATTCCTTATCAAAGTCCTAATCCCTGATCCAAAAGTAACAGGGCAATGAGTGCTCTTGAAGAAAAGGTCAGGAGTACTATTTTTAAACACTACAGAACTTAAAACTTTCTTCTCAAATGTTTTTGACAGGACTGCTTCCAAACTATTTACATTGGTTAAACTTCATTTCCTACATAACGCACATACATAATATATTTCTCAAACCACAACCAAGGTAAAGTCTAATTGATAGATTTATGTATTTAATGTCTTAACAGTTAAAAATTATAATGCAGCTTCACATTTTACCTTCTACACAAATAAATTTGTTTCTCCATTCAATACCATCAGGTCTTGGTATAGCTTTGGCTTCACGAACTGAAATCATTTGATGGCTCCAACTAGAAAAAAAGAAAACAATTTGCAAAAATTTTTAACTTAATTCCAAATTAATAGTATCAGTTTACATTTAAAAAAAATTGTTAAATTGCTATGTCATAATCCTGGTTAACACTATATTTTATAATAATGAAAAAATTTAATAGTCTAATCTTCACAATTCAGTATATAAGAATAAGGAATCGTGTGTAGGAAACAAGAAATTTTTTCCACAAACAGAAGTTTAATTACAAAAGCGTATCCAAAATAGAGCATCATGGGTATTCACGAGTAACATATATTCACAACAGAATGACTTTTTCAACTAGCAATGTCAAACTGAATATTGACATCTACATTTATATCTAAGTTCAAAAGAAATTATAGACTCAAATCTTTTAGAATTTGCTATGGGGAGAAGAGAAAGGCAAGGAGTAAGTGCAGATGAAGTCACATACTGCATTCCATTAAAAAATACTCAATAGTATAAAAATACATAGAGACAGCTTGCTTACAGGCCAGCATTCCTCGTGCAAGGAACCTATTACTAGAAAGCACCAACACTTTGTATAAGCTGAATTTTAGATCTACAAGTGCAACATCTCCCTACCACTTTCTGCACATAACTTTATGGTAACAAAACTATAGGAAATTATCATACTGAAACAGGAACAGCAGGCAATCTACAGGGTAATCTTTATCATGTGTCAACATCTTTATGATGCTTGGCACAACAACACACCAAACGTAATGGAAGCCAAAACAACCACTTTGAGTTTTATGTTCTTATCTACCCAGCCAGTTTTCAGCTGCTCTTAACTAAACAGAGCAGCTCATGCCCAGTGCCATCATGAGGCACACGCAGGCAACCAGGGAATTGGGCCCAGCCAGCATGGGTTTGTGAAAGGCAGATCCTGCTCAGCTAACCAGATCTCTTTCTGTGACAGGGTGACCTACTTAGTGGATGAGGGAAGGGCTGTGGAAATTGTCTATCCAGACTTTAGTAAAGCTTTTCACATTATTTCCCACAGCATTCTGGAGAAACCAACTGCTCATGGCTTGGATGGGTGCATTGTTCACTGGGTTAAAAAGGAGCTGGATGGATGGGCCCAGAGAGAGAGGTTACCTCCAGCTGGCAGCAGGTCACAAGGTGGTGTTCCCCAGGATTTAGTACCAGGGCGTGATCTGGATGCAGGGATCAAGTGCACCTTCAGACAGTTCACAGGTGACACCAAGTTGGGCAGGAATGTTCATTTGCTGGAGAGCAAGAAGGCTCTGCAGAGGGATCTGGACAGGCTGGATAGATGGGCCAAGGCATGTGGTATAAGGCAAAGTGCCCTTAGGTCACAACAACCCCATGCACCACCACAGGCTGGGAGGGGTGGCTGGAAAGCTGCCCAGATTAAAAAGGTCTCTTCCAACAGAAGATTTTGTAAACCAGGGAACTACTCTATCAACAAAATGCCTGGATCACCAACAATGTATCCCATATATCCTGACTAAATGGCGCTTAGAAATAGGTGGTTGATGTGCTTCTAGCTGTACTGGTGTTATGTATATCTGACGTGATCTCCTGACTGAATCAATCTTTTGACAAAATGCAAAGACAGAGGAGCTGGGCTGGGTACATCAACCACTTGCAGTAAATCTGTAAATATCAACTGGAAATTAAAGTACCATCTATAATTCATCAGCTACATTTGGAAGAACCACATGCTCCCTAGGCCACAGACCAGCTGCTGAAACTCCATTAAGTCAGTGGTGCTAAGACAGCTAAAAATCAGTGACTGTAATTCTACAAATTATCTTGAATATAGCTCATAATTAAAACCACTTATGAAAGTCAGTTGTTTGAATAACTGTACTTAGCCAGAACACATGCATTATTCTTTTATTGAAAAGAATATTCATATTGAAAAATATGAATAGGGCTTATTTCCAAAAAGTGCAGGATGAAGTAGGTTTAGGATACCTCAGTGTGTATATTTAGACTTCTCCTGATATATTCTTTAGAAAATTAGTACAGATGATGACGATTCCTACCACTCAATGCAAACTAAAGCTTTCATTCTAACCCATCATCCTTCCTCTCCTTAATTCCCATAGCAGACTACTTTTGCAAGATTTACAGATATTGTGAAGCATCAAATACTTTCCTATCATGTCTTTTAATAAATGACCATCAACAGAAGCTTAATTCAGATGAATTGCTCAAAAAAGAACATGAACACACATTAAAAAAAAAAAACACAAAAAGAAAAACAAAACAAAAAAACACCAAAACAAAAAACAAAACCCAAACCAACAAATAAAAAAAGAGAGAGAAAATGGAAAATGTATATGCCCAGAGCATCGAACAAGTTTAAACTGCAGCCTGGGGACAATGGTTGTGAGCAGAAGATGACAGTTCAACTCATCTGCTTTTTCTAAAAGCCCTATTTAAAATTCAGAGTGATCCAGACCAGTGGGAGAAAAAAAAAAGTCATAAAACAAAGTATTCGACCTGCATTTAATTTAAGCAGGAAGTACTGTTTCACTTGAAACAGTAATTCTTCTCTTGAATTCTCTTTTTTCTAAGTTATACTCGATGCCTCAACAAAAAATAAACGCATTTATATTACACCGGTTAAGCAAAAAAGCAACAAAAAAGTGACATTTCTAGCTATTTAAACTTGAAAATAACTGTTTTATCTGATAGTCTCACTAAACCCATCTTAGTACCAAAATCATCCTGAATTAGAAATTAATTACCAACAGCAAATTATTTGTGTACCAATTTTAACCATTTTGGCTTGCATACAGTAACTTCACTGTTACCAACACAAAGCAAATATTCTCTACATACAGATTTGCAATCCGTAAGTTAACGATGGCTATTTAAACAGCTATTTCAATTATCAGTTATTTTTGTTGTCACTGCCTTCATTAGATACATGATCTTCAGAGGGAAGACAAGTATTTGAAAGAAAGATCAGGCAATTTCAGGTGTCTGTATAATGACACTACAAATAAAATAAAAAGCTTAGCTTTTCCAGAGCATTCTTACAAATCAAAGCCACTTATATAAACACACTAAGATGGATAAAAATTGCAAGCATATATAATTCAATATGATATTAAAAATGATCCCTTTATTACTTGACCAATTCTACTGTGAAAAGAGTTGCCAGCAACTGCTCACTGTAATTTTTATTTTGTCATTAAAATGTAATCAATCTTTTGTCATGTCAAATACAACTTAATGAGTGAATGATCTTAAACAACTGCTACATAACTTGCAACAATAAATTTAAGAGAAGTAGTCATAAAGGACAAATTCCAGGTTCCTTAACAGCATATTCAGGGGAACAAGGCCTCAGTTTGGAAAGAGACAACCAAGTGAAAACCTGCTGCCTTCACTCACAGCTGCAGAAATGAAATCAGACACCTCCCATGGAGGGACTGGTAAATATGGACCAGTTTCCAAATACTTTCTTTGGACAACATCTAAATGCATTTTTTCACTTGATCACATTCACTGCATAATCAGCAGACCTTTGACAATTTTAAATATTAGAGTAATAATGGAGTCACAAGCATGCTTTTAGCCAGTTCTATCATAACAAACATTATGCAGACTTGAACTCTTATAGCAAGATAATTATACAACCACAAAGGCAAAACAAGATCTGCCATATGTAGTGTGTTAGTCCAATGTATGTAGCAATTTCCAAATCACATTTCTTTGGGGATAGGGGTGAAGGGTTGTAAAAGTTACTTCTTATGGACACACTGAAAGCCCCAAAGCAGAACTGTGGAAAGAGCGCTGTATAAATACATGGCAATAAGCAGTTTTCTGAAACATCTTACAGTCTAAATAAATCAAACATGTTAAAAGTATAAAGGAAAAAAACCACAGCACAAGGAGACGAACTTATTCATGGCTGCACAGCACACAAGGTGGCTTTGTTTCTTCCTTTGCCATACTCTTTGGGCCCATCCTGCCTTTAAATATTAGGCACTACCTAAAGTAAAATAAACTACATATTTTAAATTAAATACCTGATGGCCTTTGCTAGAGTGAGGGAGAAGTTTAAAACAATACATCCCTGTCTTCTCCTACCTTCCTGACCAACACATGTAAAATAAATGAGTAGTTAAGCATTCTAGGCAGGTGGCTTCAGTGACTCATTCTGTTCAAAATTATGATCTTCACACATGATCTGATCATTCTTGATTGCATACTATTCATCCAGCAAAACAGTTCCTGTGTATCAAACCCAGTAGTGCATTCTACTCCTACAAAAGACAGAAACCTACAACAATCACTTTTATGAAAACTGAAATAGCAATTTTAGTCTCTTTAGTAATCTTTTCATCAAACACATTACAGCCCAATAGTGAAAGTTCACTGGCTAGGTCATTGAAATATGGCCCAGTTTAACAGTCACAGTATCTGAAATATAATCTCAATATTTTAGTGCATAAAAACACCAGTAAATGTTTCACAGGGAAAGCAAACCCTTAAAAAATTACTAGCTACAGCAGTGAAAATATTCAACACATTCTGGAGTAGAACTAAGAGAGCCCTGTGTTGTGTGTATTTACAAGCTTAATGAGTCAGCAGTGTGCCCTGGCAGCCAGGAGGGCCAACTGTGTCCTGGGGGGCATCAGGCAAAGCATCGCCAGCCGGTCGAGGGAGGGGATTGTCCTGCTCTGCTCTGCACTGGGGCGGCCTCACCTTGAGCATTGTGTGCAGTTTGGGGCACCACAATACAAGAAAGACATTGAGCTATTAGAGAGTGTCCAAAAGAGGACCATGAGGATGGTCAAGGGTCTGGACTGGAAGCCCTATGAGGAGCGGCTGTGGTCACTTGGTCTGTTCAGTCTGGAGAAGACCTAGGGGAGACCCCATCAGGGTCTTCAACATCCTCACAAGGGGCAGCGGATGGGCAGGTACCGATCTCTTCACTCTCACAACCAGTGACAGGACTTGAGGTAATGGTATGAAGCTGAGTCAGGGGAGGTTTAGTTTAGATATGAAGAAACTCAGTATATTCTATGATTCTACGTATTTAACTCTTATCGTCATTCTTGCTTGTACTGTTGTTTCCATCAGCAACTTCAAAGCAAAGATAACACATTTGTGCCTAGCATGACACTGTTCTTTGGTTCTCACTGGCTTGCTATCTCACACACAAAAATCTTTTAAGACATGATCATGTTCCTCCCTATGGGCACTAATTTGTCTTCTCCAGGCAATTACCAGGTTTTAAGAAACTATATGGAATTTACTACCTTCAAGACACCAACCCCATTCCTTTCAAACATGATTTATAGTTGTCAGGGATACACAGATGGTCAATTAAACAGTATACCTGGCTAAGTTTTAATTCTGTAGCAGAAAGAGTTAAAAAAACCTGCTGCATTAAGTGCATTATTTCCTCAAATGATTTCTCAGCTATGTAACATTTTCAACACAGGAATTCTAATGGCTATTTTTACAGGAGGTTTTTTGCGTGTTTTTTTTTTTTTTTAACAGAATATCATGAGTCAAATGTTTAAATACTTAACAGATACTGGACAGTGGAAAAACCAGCCAGATATTCTTTTTTTCCAGTTGTTTTTTTAAAAACATTTTCTTCCTTTGACATCAGCAAGTATCCTGTCTTCAATGTTACTTTTTCAAACCTTGTTTTAATCAGTTCACCTGTGTGATTAAATTTAGGTAACATTTTTTCCTGATTTATGAACATCACAAAAAATAATATTTAGGGATTACCCTCACTTCAAGTACTGATATTGCAGAAGTCCTCATATATCTTAATATATCCTGTCTAACAGCAGACAAAACCAAAGTCTTTCTGGACCAGCCACCAACTAGGCAGAAATCTGGTCCTGACTATGTTCACAAGCACTCAAAGCAGAAAAGTCAAATTAGGCATTTTTCCTGCATTTAGACAAGATCATCTCTATTACTTTGCCCAGGCAAACCAGAAAATTCTTCCTTATTGGAAAATACATTTACTTTCATATATGAGAAGATTAACAGCTTGTTGTTCAGTCAAGTAGCAAAGGATTCATCTAGTGCTCAACAGAAATCAGGAACCTGAGGTTATCCTTCAGCAGTGTCTTCTCATTTGCCTCTTTACCAAACATCACCTTGCCAGATGAAAAGACAGGTACTCAGGAGCAACATTATACTATAGCGTAATATAGCAAGCCCTAGCAATTTTTAAAGGACAAAAGTCTCTAGCTTTCGGCACCTATTTCACAGGACAGAATGCCTGGCTAAGTAGAAGATGTCAGATACTTTATCGACATTCCTATTGTCATTTAGCCTTTTCACCCTTTTCCTCCCTATCAATTACCATTCCTTCATTACTGCAATTCTTTCTCTTCAAGCATTAGGAAGTGTTGCTATACTGAATAGAAGGAATCAAAGTTTTGCATATTCCAAACCACAAAGACAAGCTTATTACTTACTCAAATTCTGTGGCATAATATTTGAAGAAGCCTATTAGCAAATCTCCAAGGCTTGATCCATTTTTTGAGATGTAAGGAGGAATGGTACATGGAGCTTGATGAACAAGATGCAACTGCATAGTAGGATCAAAACATTCCTGTCAAAAAAAAATCAGAGTGTGTGTATATATATATATATATGTATATACTAAACACACACACACACACACAAAGAGAGCCTTAAACAAGATGAATATATTTTTCCCAATAAGAAAGCTGCCTATCATTTGCTTGTTAGAAGTTCAAGGACAATTTACAAGCCAACAACTATTTCGCTTCCGCTCCTCTCTTGATACTAGTTACTCTCTCTGAACTCAGGTAGAATCATCTTGCACAGGAGTGTGTGAGACCACCCCTTGACTTCTGTTTACTAAAGAACTTTAACATGGGAGAATATTTGAACTGCACTGAGCTGGCTGCAGTTGAATTGAGATAAGGTAAGTAAAACTAATGCATCCATTGCCAATTTTGAACACCTATGGTACAGAAACAATCCCCAAGGAAGGCCTGACTTTTCTCCCACAGCAGAGTTCAAATTGCATATGAACCCCACTGGCAATAAAATGAATCTGCATCCTCCCACATAATGAGTTCAAAGACTGCAGTCACACTTCCTCTAACCAAGCTATCTGAATAAATAAAAAAAACCCCCAACAGTGAAGTTATACAAAAACCCTGAATACACAGAATGCAGGACTTAGCTGAAGTATGCTTTTCTTCAGAGGGAAGGGGGTGGGCATGATGGGGGTAAGAAAAGGTCAGATTTGCTATGAAAAGAAATCACTATTGCCAGCTTAAAAAGGAATCTATACAAGGCTAAATTAACATGGGTTTAGCTCTGCTCTACTGTTTCAGTTCCATTGCATCCTTTAGGTTATTGTGATAGACTGGAATACATGGAGGAAAACATATCTTCCCGATAAACATTTTTATAACCTGGTAATACCAGGTTTTAACACTATTTTACAGCAATGTTGTGTATTTTACTGAAAATTAACCCAAGATACACAAGAGCAAGCTTCCTTCAAATAAAGGAACACATTTATGTAAATTTAGAGACTTATTCACTCATTACTGTATCTCCCCTCTCCTCCCATTCATTTGTTATTTTAAAGAGTAGTATCAGGCATGACTCAAACTTTATAGCACTAGAATAGCACTAGAAGCACTACACACTGTAATGCTATTTCCATGTCCACAGCTGGCAGCTCTTCCTCTGAGAAAAGCACAGTTAGTGATCAAAACCAGTAGGACTGAAAAGTCTGGGACTTCTGTCCTCTTCTGCCAATTCTAGCAAAACCTCCTGGAACCTTGTGCAGTATCTTTGGGGAGAAAAGCCCATTCTTCTAGCAATGAAAAAATTGCAAGTGTTGATCTCACACGATACAACTTTACATAGAAAACATAGTTAGCAGAGCTCAGAATTTAACAGCTTATAATTCATCAGAAGACACCAAAGCAATGGAGACACACAGACATAAAAAGCAGATACGTAGCACACAAAGATGTAGAAAGGGAACAGCTGTTCCTATGTCATACAGTATATACAGTTTTAACCCTAAAGTTAATCAGAAAGGTACTAGAGTGAAAGTTACTCCTTGCCCATTCCCACAGAAAGTTACAGAGAGTCACAACAGTTGAATTCAGAACTAGCAGCATACCAGCTCAAGAAGAACATACAAGGGAAGAGGCAAAAGGAAAAACACGGGATGATGACCTCCAAACAATACGAAATAGAAACTTAACAAAATTACTACAACAGATGTCTACTAAGACCAGTAAGTAAATGTTTGGAGGCAGCAGACATCTTTGAAAAGGAGAACAAGATTAACTTTTTTAAGCTTTGAATATTTAAATGCCCAAGAACTTCTCAACTGCAGGAAAATTCTGCCAGCACAGTGAGGCTGGCATCCTGAGCAGCTAAAAAGCTGGCAATAAGATTTCAGACAAATCAAAGTTTTCCTCACTCAGAAAGGCATTTGCCTTCAAAAAATACACCTGTATTATTCTATATAAGTGCTGCAGTAAAAAGGCAAGTTATGGTCTATAGCAGCTAACCATTAAAAAACCCAACCACCTAGTTCTATAAATAATTCCCATTTCCACTTGGTTTAGTGGTTATATCTCTCTGAAAATTACTCTTAAAAAGGCAACTAAGTATTGCAAAAAAGAAGGCATGACTGAAATTAATTTTCTGGAAGAAAGTAAGGTTTTTTAACACTAACTAAAGCAAAGTATTAATAACATCCTTGTGATACTGTTAGTAAATTTATTTTTTAAGCACTGTCAGTTGCTGATCACCACACATAAAGGCAAAAACAGTGTTTCATCTTTCTGAAATACAGAATTTTTTTATGGAAGAAGTAGCTATTACCATATTAGAAAGTTTTACATGTAAAACCAAATTAGTTATTACTTAAAATTCAGTATATGGAAGATTTAATGAAAACTTCTGTCAAGAAATTTCATTCAATATATCAATAACCAACAATGTAATTTTTTTAACATAATTTCTTGACAAAGCAATCACTCAGTGTCCAGTGAATAAGAGGTCAGACCAGCCACAGGATACATAGACTCATTTTTCTGCTTTGCCACAGACAACCCATGAAAATCCACTAGCCTCAACTCATCTCCATTCACCTGTTGTAAAACGGGGATAACAGTATTTGCCTTCCTGTTAGAGGGACTCAGGGAATAACTAGATGCACACAACAAGGTAGATTCTGCACATAAAGGAGGTTGTCTACAAAGCATCCTTCAAATTAGTTTAGTTTCAAGTAGGCAATCCCTGTAAGTTTTCCCTTTTTAGCTGCACTAAAAGGCAAAAGATCCAACTTCTATTAAAATTAGTCCCTAATGCACTTACTGTGTCTTTGCTTCAAGCCACCTTAAGAGACGGAAAGGAAATTCAGGATCTGATGGAGTAAATATAAATGAGCTATCCATTATTTCCAGATACTTCAGAAAAAGGGACCCCAAAGTCCTTTTCCTTTTTTGCTAGATCTCTAATCTTTACCTTGGTTGGCTGATTTCTCAAGAAACACCAGTATTGAGCAACGTTTCATGTTCAAGCTACATAATGTTTACAAGTACACTCATTCCACCTTACACACTGGAAAGGAAGACAAGTGTACATAAAAAAAAATTATATTTGAGTGTCTTGATGTATAGTGAGTTTAACTCTGTACCAGATTCTTCAAAAAAGTTTACAGTTGTAGCATCAGCATAGTATCTTGCCATTTTTTATATTCACACACATAAAATACCCTTCACCAGTCTTACAAATGAATATTTAAGTCATGTTTTTACTTTTTAAAAGTGCAACTCAACATGTGAAGCAAACTGTGTCTGTCCAAGGACTGACTTCTACATTGAGCACCACCCCACCTTCTGCTCCACAGTTTTAAGACGCGACATGAAGATGACGTAGCAGATACAAAAATGTGCTCATGTGAAGTCCACAAAATTCACTATCCACAGCACTCACGGAGACTCGCTTCCATCTTGATTTAAGGCAATACAGTTGAACACTTAAGGCTGCTTGAACACTGGAGGCTCAGGCACAAGTTTCCTTCTGACTGCCAGTGGCAGCAATGTGCACCAGCTGTAATGGCCTGAGCCATTATAGGTTCTCTAGAGCTCATCTGTAAAGTCATGACTTGAAGGCAAGTTCTACATAGACTTCAGAACTGATCAGCACATTTTGTGGGCTACTATCATCTACCTGATCTGGATAGTGAGGGCAGGAAGCCCCAGAATACAACCTCACATCTGATATGGTCCAATACCCACTCTAAACGAGAGGCTGTAAAACATGTCAGCTTGGTGCCAGCTGGAGGCTCACCCACGACAACAGAACGCACTAGTGGGCAAACCTGGTGGCTTTCCAGGACTTCTCAGCCCTTCACATTTGCAGTAGGGATATACTGAGACACGGAATCTGCCTTTTGTCTCCTCCTCAATGAAAGCATGTCTCTCTTATATGGTACCAACAACGTAAAACAGAGCACAAAAGTAATTTCAGGCTGCAGATTTGATTTTGAAAAACTGTAGGTAGATGTCTGTAGGGGAGATGCAGGATTTATGTGTAGCGTTAGTATGGAGACAGAGCTTTGACCAGCTACAACCACAAGAAAAACATATGGTGTCTTTTGATACTGACATTTGCCTGTGCATTGAAATTATTACTGCAAGGTACAAGACCAAATTTGTGTTGCTGTATTTTTAATTTTAAATTTCTCTGAAACATCAGCATTCAGAAATTTTAACTTTCAATTTTTAAACACTTAACTATAATTATATTCCTAATGGAAACAGTAGACCAAAAATATATTTGCAAATTTGGGTTTATAGTAAACAAGTATAAAATATTCTTTAAATTTTGTTAGCAATCCTAGAATTCTCCAGAGGTAATCCAATCACTCTCCAAAGGTACGATAACTAACAAGAACAAAAACCAAAAAAAGAATCTACATCAGAACAGGGTAAAAAGCCATTTCTTCTAGCTGTGTTCTCAAAACACAGGTACCTGCAGGTGATTTACCGTTTTCACATAACATAAGATAAAACCTTGTACAAACGTTTAATTCATTACAAATTCATTATATTTTTAGTACAAATTTATAGTATAAATTCATTATATTTTTCAAGTTTTGGTATTGTATAATTCTGCTTTAATCATACAAGGCATTAATGTTTGCATAGTACTCTGAAGGCCTTTACACGGTTCAAACACTGTAAATAAATTTATCTCGTAAATGTAAATAATTATAATTTTCAATTATAATTTTGGAGGAGTCAAAATTTACCAATTCTTAACAGTTTTATTTAAATAACATGCTACACAAAACTTACAATACTACAAATTCAAAACCCTATCAGATAAAGCTAAGTGTACAAGAAATGAAAGACAACTTCAAATGCTTTTCAGCTCTCTCAGTGAAGAAATGAGAAGGTATATAGTACCATAAAAAAAAACAGAGGAAAAGATAAAGACCATAAAAATGTAGCACAGGTATGCCTAAGCAGATTTACAATACAGAAATAAAACTGCAGTGTATTATCACTCAAAGCTTTCTTCTGCATCTTGATTACCCTAATTACCCATAATGGCTGACACCATAGTATTTTCTCCCTGATGTACAGTGTTATTAAATATTCCCATTTCAGCATTATAGGAAATATATGCAAAAGATAGAATGGCTTTCTGATACTACCTCAGCACAACTGTCAGCAACAAATTACAGAAACATACAGGGACAGGGACATCAAACTATGTGAACTATGAATAAAAAAAAATTAAAAAGTGACACTAGAGGAAAAGTAAGGAGGAAGAAACCAAGGAACTTCAGTAAATAAGTTATAGCATAGAACTATTCATCAATAAAGCTGAGAAATATTTAGGAGGGTAGATCTTACTTCTAGATCATCTTCCTTAGATTAAATCTCATTAATAACAGTCCTAATTCTGGAGGGATCAAAGCATATTGATTCACAGAATTCACTGGAAGTGAACAGAGTATGATCTGGATACAACAGATATGGATGTATGATCTGGACACAAAGTCCCAAAAAGGTGTTTTCTTGTTGGACTGAAGCCAAATTTTGTGATGTCACAAAAGTTTGCGTAGTAGATATTTATCACTCACTCTGCACACAGAAATATCAGGCAACTCAACAGCTGTGGGAGGGTATGGAATTCTGAAACACCAGAGTTGGATGAAAATGTAACATATTAAAAATAGGAACCAGAAAGTTACAACTGACACAGGGATATTTTCAGGTCAGCATAAAGGGAATTAAGTCAGCGGTTTTCATTAGCACTTGTTTCTACCTGTGTGTGAAATCTTCTCATACATAACAGAATTTTCACTACAGAAATTATCAAAACAGCAAATAATCTCTTTCACACTTATGTTTAGCAGATCAATGACCAGATTTACAGACTTAATCCATTAGAGACAGTTAAGAAATTATATATTTAGATAAGCAAGGTCATACACATATATTATGTAGTAAAACCATAAGAAACACTTACTGGGTAATTTTTCTGGAGGGATGGAAGGATGGGTTCAGGTAGGGCTATAAAAAAGAGAAGTTTGAAGTTACTGTGATTCACATAATTCACAGGAAGCATTATCATATCAAGTACACTGCAGGGTTGAATTGAAATTTTGTCTTAAAAACATCTATCAAGAACTTCACTTTCACGTCTTTTTTAAAGTAAAAGTTATTCAGTAAACATTTCTGTTACTATATTTCCCACTATATAGTACCATAAGAAGTTTATTCAGCTAAGGGAAGCTGTTATCAAGATACTACTATATGTAGTAGGCATGAAAAATTCTACAGCAGCTGGGTACAACTTCATTTCTCAAATTTATATTAATTCATGGCTATAAAAACATCACCTGGATTCCCTAAAGAAAAAATTAGAGTCACTCTTTTTTTTTCCCTATGTCTAATACATATGATTCCATCATAGCATAAGTCTACAGATAATGCAAAAGCACACATTTTTTAGCTGCAAAGTATCATATACTGAACCTCCAAAAGTAACCTAAAGAAAAAATACCCAACACACTTACTAGGCATTGCTACAAAATCCCTACAAAATACATAAATACAGTCTAATATTGTTAGCTGATCTACTAAATGGCAAACATGTTATAATGATCATGTAGTCATTAATGATACAGACACAAAATGAATTAAACATTTGCCATGTTTTATGAAAATCATGGATTGGGAGAGTATCTCTTGCACAGCATAAAAAAGAAGGAAAAAACTTATCACTCAGATTAGATGATAAACCAAAATCCAAAACTACTGACATGCCAGTCAAGCTTTAGAGCAGCTACCAAATTACGAGAGCACTCCTCAGACTAAAGCTTTAACATCATCTCCTCAGCATGTTTTTTTAAACAACTGGTCTACATCACCCACTAGGGAGAATAATAACTAAATTCAGTACACAAGACTTGGGACTTAGTTCACCCTTCTAACAGGCTCTCACAGGGGAAGAGATGTTACAGAATCCTTTTTCTGTAACAAAAGAAATGTTACAGAAAGAGATGTTACAGAATCCTTTTCTTTCTTAGGGACTAAGAATCAGAACAGCAGAATTCTCAGAATATACTTCGAGTATCTTCAAAGAGTATAATATACCTACCAGGTCTGCTAAGACAATGATCACAGCTTCTTTAATAATATTTTTATTTTATTTGTGTTTAGAAATACGCAAGAGCTCATAGTTCTGCAGTATTTTGGATAATTTCCAGTCCTCTGCCCCACTAAAACAAAAGGCAACAAAATCTAAGCAATACAGGCAATCAAGATATTGTATCTGGGCCCGCATGCTTTACTAAGAGGATGGACTTTTCTCCTAAAGCTACCACTTATCATTTGCCATATGAGTTCCGTTTTCTTACTGTACAAGTTAGTTAGACCTGTTATCTGGAAGAAAGTTCATGTACAAGATACTGATGTATCTATAAAATAAACTGAAGTCACACTAAACTTGTGTATGAAGACATCCACAGGAATATAAGACTGTGGAAATTAATTAAGTAATACAGGAAAGAAATGTGCCTAGTGAAGACAGGGTCGCTATTTACTGCAAAAGAAAGCCTTCGGTTTGTTCCCTCTCCAGTAACATGAACAAAAACACTATTACAAGTTCTAGGATACGGCTACTTCCAGGAGAATTACATGCGTGTAGCAGGAAAAAAAACACCTTTAAAATCTTCATGAATAAAACATCAGAACCTAAAGAGATGGTGCTAGTTACAAGTACAGACCCACATCTCAGGTGTTTTTTTCTGCAGAAGAGGCTGGGGAATCACAGGTAAAAGGCTCCTCTTTGGTTTGTAGACTTCTGATCCTCCCCAGACAGCTGACGGATCACAGTTTTGCATGAAAAGGATTATCTGAACCTTTTTTCCCCTTCTCTAGAGAGCTATGCCAGCTGCCACACAAAATTATAGCTACTGTCCTCATGCATTTTTGTTAACTAGTGCTTATAGCTACACAGTGTCCTGCAAGTACATTTATTTAAATTTTTTAAACCTTTGTAAAGCTAGTAGCTCTGCTTCCAGAGAAGAGGTCCACTTGTTAAAGACAAATGCAGCACTAAGGAAATAGAGTAAATGCACTTCAAATCTTTCAAAATTACTTACTTTCAAAATTCTTACTTTCAAATCTTCCTTGTGGAAGATGATTACTGTGTTTGATTTTATTAAACAGGAAAACTACACAGATATGAACTTAAAAGAGGCAGTTTCAACATGGAAAAAAATACTTACTCTGTAAATAGTGCAAAACCATCAGCACAAGACTGTAGCTGCTTAAAGTACCACGACTGGCATCATTTATCTCATGAAAACTTGCCCACTTCTTAATAACCAGTACTAATGGACGAACTCGATTCTCAACTGCAAGTAAAATAAGTACATCTCAAAAAAGTATATTTAACTATACAGCAATTATTCAACATTTGTTCCTACTTAATCAACATATTTTTTGTATTCTAAGGTTACCTTTCAGAAGCATTTTATAGAATTTACTTAGTTATTCTACAACTACTATCCATCCTATAAAAATCAGAACCAAGTATTTGCATTTGAAAAGAGTCTTTTGAGTAATAAGATCATTATAAATGGGTATGTCAGGAAATTTGCAGGTAAGACAAAACTGGATAGATCAGTCAATACAGCAGTGTCACATTTGACTTCAAAGCTCTCTGCAGTTCCTTATACTAATTTTCCCTGAATTAACTTGCTGCCAGGACAGACCCTAAGTTATTTTTTCATTGAGGGCAGGGAAAAGAATTCTCCTTGTTGGAGGACACAGACCTCATTCTTAAGTTTACCTCAGGATCCATAAGGCAGTAACCTATGCATACAAACATAAATTTTAATTTTGCCTTTTCCTCAATAGCTTTTCATGCAGATGAGATGTTACATAAAACACCTCTTTAAATCAAGACATATTCATTTCATGAGGAATGACATAAATATAGTCATATTCTAGGTATGATCTTCCAAATTTCTGGGGAATATTAATATCTTCTAATTAAGGTACTATATCTGTTGTAGGGAGGTATCACTCACCACAAAATTCTAGGGACCTAGCAGCATACTTAATTTATTATTTGCAGATATGTGGAAGCAGATCATCAACTCAGTCAAGTGCCTTACAACGGCCTTGAATACTTGTATGTTCTGGAGTATCTTTTATAACCTGACATCGTTATGCAAGGTCTTGTACTCTGCACAGCAGGACTGGAGGACAAAAGACATCCAACAACTGCATCAGTTGCTTCAGCACCTATGCCCATCTAAATGCCACTCTTCTTCTCAGAATCAACATCCTAGATCTGGAAGATCTCTTGGAAACAACAAAACTCCTTAGCACCAGTCACCTTATTCCCAACATTGTTCACCCGTGGTTGAAATAAAAAAATGTAACTATTAGCACACTAACTGTGAGATGCTAAGAATTACTTTACAAACACCATATGAACATGCATTAACTGAAATAGGATTTTTCCATGAGAGAAAAATGCAAATAAGCTCCAATTCCAAACATGATTCTTTAGTGTGTGTGTCATAGAAGAGATTTCTTTTCAGCTGACCTCATTCTGAGATATGTTTTTCTGTCTGCTAATGCCTGTAATTAGTATATAACAAAGTCAGGGTGCAATATGGCCAGTAAACTTTCTCTGATACTCTGATACAAGGTACCCCCTCAAGAAATGCTCAGTAATGTCATTTGCTCAAAGTTAAAAAGTCTAGCTTCCACTAATTGAAAAATATCTAGAAACAATTGATGACTTAATTGCAGACCCATCTCCTTTGGCAAACCACTGGTAACACGACAGCACAGACTTCAGTTTCTAGGTCTGCCTAATCTACCTACATTTTCTGTGGACGTTCTGCTTCACTCATCTCGCATCATCATCTCTGATGTTTTCAACAGCACCCATGCACCAACAGAGAAAGGCTAACTTCAAAAAAGACAGAAAAACACCCACAGAAATATTTCAGAGTTTTGGCTTTTTCATTATGTTGATTAACGTCCCCTTTTTGCCTGAGCATCTCCTTCATTCTAATGCAACAGAGAGACCAATACACCTTCCACATTAGAGGTAATTTGATCTTTTTTTTCTCCCATGCAGGGTAACACCCTTCAACCACACACTTAAGTGACCAGGATAACACTTCTAACGCTATCCACCCTTGCTGATATGACTGCAAAAGAGACAGTTTGATAAAAGTTTCCATTTAGTATTGTTTGCCTTACATCACCTGAGGGTTTTCTGATCCAAGGAAGACAAAACAGACAAGCTGTATGCTTGATATAGTTTGTCTATTTAGGAAGGTCCAGCACATCAAGGAGATATTTTCAATCATAAGTCCCCCTTAGCTATTAACTCACTCCTTGACCTCAAGAAAATAACAGTATTTATCCTTCATTAGGAGGCATGAAGTTAATTTTGCTGGCCTTACAAAAGTGGGCACCAAGGTGGGATACTAGGACCCCTTCCACCGCTCTTTTCCCATCTGGACTCATCTGCCTTGCAGTGATTTCCTGAAAGGAATAAGGGAAATCTGTGGCAGAAGGTAGAAACAAATATATCCACATTAGACTTGGTGAACTGACCCCTCACCCATAGACATGAATGACAATGATTATTTCCTAATTTTTTTAAGCTTGGAAGGAGATCCTTCTCCAGTCATAGATCTTCCTGGACATATGAAGAAGTCACAGTTAACCAACTGATCCAGGACAAGTTGTAGACTCTCCTAGTAACATGAATATGGAACACAAACTACTCTGACTAAAATATTAGTAAAAATTAACTAGTAAAGGTAGCTTCTATTGACACATTCATACCCTGAATAGAAAGGAATTCCTTTATGCAAGAACTGAAGAATGTGGTAAAGGAACAAATGCAAATGCCCTAGAAGAAATAGCTTGAGATACACTCTTTATGTACTTATCTGCCAAATGACATAGTGATGCTGAGTGAGAAAACTTTGGTACAGCACTGAGAGTGCTGTTCATATTACCTTCCTCTCAGAAGTCTGTTTCACAGTCTCTCCCTAATATGCAAACTCCTGAGGAGACACAAGCCAGTTTTGATTTGGAGTTTGTATAAACACTGAAGCAGTATTTTGGATTTTCCAAGAAAAGACTCTAACAGCATAAAGACACAACTAGCTATCAGCCACACAGCTTGTCAGTGGCTGTAAGGAAATAAAAGAAATTAGAGATTACACCCCTAGATAGCCATTAGTATAATGACCTCATTATCTCCAGAATACTTGAAGCAGCCCTTATAGTAGATATGTGGACCTTAATATGGAGAATTTTTGTTATCTTCTGAATATTGTAATATTCAATTAAAAACATACCTCATATGTTTTCTCAAATATTTAGAATGAGCAACAAGAACTTAGAGCTAACTAATGCAGCTAACTAGGTAATGATATATATACTAACATAATATATTAAACTGAATTTTAATAGTATACCAATGCCAAAATACAAACTCAAAAAGAAAAATTTATAGAAATAAGAAAATACAACAAAAACTTACTGAATGCATAGGTTCTCAAAAGGAATGTATTTCTTATCCCTACAACATTGTTTACATTCAAGTCGAACTCCACATAGCTACTGGGAAGAAGAAAAAAAAAATCAAGCACCATGGTATTCAGTTTCTGAATGTTTATTACCTACTTAGTGACAAATATGGAGAAATGTAATTTTAATATAAAACCCTAGAAACCTTCTTCAGAGCTTTAAATGCTGTCATTTCTACAATTTTGTTTATAGTACCTGAATTGCTTACAGACTGAAATTCCATTGTTATAAAAATATAATTGTTGTTTTACACAAAGAATACATGTAGATCCAAATTTAGACTCTTCCTCCCAACTAGACTTGCACTACATGATATAGTACGAATTAAGAGGTTGAAAGGCGAGAGTCTAATGATGGTCAGAGATAATTAAGACTTTGAAATAAAAACAGGTATGAGGTAACACCGCATGTTCTGCAATAAAATAGTTTTGATAACTTTAATTCTGTTAAGAGAAAATAAGAACAAGGCAAACAAGCACTAACAAGCTTTACTTACAGCACATCCCATCCCCAAGTTTGAATTTCATACTGCATATGGAGCACAGCTACTCACAGTACTCAAGAAACAACATTAAACTCAAGGTCAATAAGCCACAGCAACACTAACTTGCAACATGAAGAGCCTACTGTTGACAAAGGAGTACAGCTATTTCTATTTTATATATCTAAGTATCAGTCACTATATGTTTGCCCAAATATTCCTTCAGCTTTTCTTACATAAGGGGAACATGGACCTGAAATTCATTAAACTGGGTAAAACACATTAATTTGATGCCTACAAGCAGTTTTTTACACCTTTAGCTATATGAAACATTATTTGCATCAAAAATACTACATAATTTTAAACATGAATTAACATCAAGCATGACTTTTTACGTGTTTTAAGAATATAGTACACATCAGTACAGGAAATAAACAAACTTGAACTACCACTTGACAGTTGCAAATTTAAGCATAAACACCTGTAAGAACATTATTGCATGTGCAAATACAATTAAAAAAATATGTCACGTGGCATCTGTAATTCCAGTTAATCTAAACTGACAAGACTACTGTTTACCAGACACCAACTGAAGCAAGTTCTATTGCAGTTATTTTGTACTTTACTATGCACATTTAATAGCTGGTAAGGTTATGGCAACTGAAAAAGGTTTCACTGTTGGGCTCAAGTTCTACTAAAAGCACTAAAGGAGAGAACAAGAGTCAACTGCACATCAAATGTAGCAGAAGAGGAAGTTTTTGTATTCTCTATAGTACAAAAATCTTGTTAACAAACCACAGGCTTGTTGGGAAGCAGAGACAGCATTGGAATTCTTTCCTAGGAAAGACTACCCAAAAAAAGGTAAGATAGTAACTCTTTAAGTGCTAAAAACCCCACAACTTTAAAGATGAAAAAGGAGAACAAACACAAACTGAATGCTTTCTTATTCACCAAATCAAAGTAAGTGGCAAACTTAAACAACGTCATTTTCAGGTATATATGGACCATTAACACATCAGAATGTGCATCTCCAGATACAGAGATACCACCCAGGGAATTTTACCATCCTCTCCCAGCAGCTGGGCATCAAGAAAACTGGTTTTCACAGGAAGCTTGTCATGTTTAGTTTCCAGTTTTGGTAAAAAAAAGCTTAGTGCCCTGGGTACAGAATATCCAATGCATTTTTCAAGACCTCTGTGAAAAAATGAACAAGTGTGGGTGTATGTGTATATATGAGCCTACAAAAGTCAGAAGACGATAAGTGATTAGAAAGAGACAGATATTTAAATAAAATGACAACACGTGGGTGGAGAAGACAGGTTATATAAGAAAAAGATAACTGTAAAGACAGAAAATAAACAAAACCAAACACCATACAAAAAAAAACTCAACCCAAAGTCATGTCATTCCCTGCTTCTCCTCTCTTCCACAAAAGCAACACAGGAAACCAGACAGCAAACAGCACTGGTTTTTACTCTGCAAAAATATAATGTGCAGCTTCTAGTATAAGAAGATTATATTTTGCTTTAGAGTTCTTTAAATCATGTCTGTAAGGCATATAATTATCATTACTTACTATTTTTTGAAAGTGACTGTAGTATGAATTATAAATGCCTTTAATCTTCTCATACAATCACTTTCATACTTAAGGTTTCTTTTTAAAGTTTATTTTCTGATTTTAAAGTGGAAAAAAAATTCCTGCTATAATCCCACAACTTATTCAATATTTGCAAAAACAATTTACCATTTCATATATCATGAAATGACTAGCATTGCTCTATGTAGCTAAGTCATAGAACCCAGATTTTAACTTGGCAAGTATAATACTTTCAGAAAGCATGGGAAAAATAACCTTCTGTACTGTTAGAAGAGAAAGTTACTAGATAAAAAAATATTCAAATTTTTAAAAGGTAGACAACTATACAGAGTAACTATGGGACTAGGCGTAAATGAAGGAAACAGTATAAAGTGAAAATCCCTACAAGTGTTATATAATCTCAGATGAAAGAAAAGTTTAAATGGATGATACAGATTAGTTCAAATTGCAAACATGACCAGATTTAGTTTTACCATGGCAAGGTTTCTGCTCTGATAAAGGCATATTGTGATTAAAAAAAGGGATATGCTTTTAGAGGAGATGCCAGAGAAGTGGGCTCATTTGTTTTCATGAGACAGATACAGGGTTGCAAAATTTTCGATGCATATAGGAGGGTAAGACAGATAGAAGAAAGTTGTTCCAATTTACAAAAATAGTGAAACTATGTTACTATATGAAGCTGATACATATCAATCCTACAAAGCTAAGCCAATAAACATAGGAAGATTTGAACATTACTCAGATTGTTAACATATTTCAGTGCTTTGCATGACTTTTTCCTCTATAAGATACTTCCATCAAACATAATAAAAAATACATCATTCTCTGCCCTACTACATCCCTCTTATTCTCTCATGTCTTTACAATGGTATATAATGAATACTACAACGTATAACACATCCACTTCTCTCTAATTACTTCCCCCTTCTAAACAAAGGCCACAAAATTATTACCTAAGAGTGTGAATACAACATGCAATAATATATTCTTAAACACAGAATATCTCCCTAGAAGACAGAATTTACTCTCTAAAATGAACAAGACCTTTTTAATCAAGAAAACATCACGATAAACTAAAGTTCATTTTAGCGTTGTTTGTATAGTGTAAATACTGTGAATTAGTCCTTAAGTAGCTTAGTAGTTACGTTTGCACAACAAGCAAAATTAACTTTCACAGCAGTTTTCTTCCTGCCATTGTTTTTCTGTTATAAACCATCTGTCAACTGGATTCCACTATGTACAAATAACTCATGGAAATATGTGATGTACTGCTTCTAATTCACATCACAGAAACCAAACAGCATTTCAACCATAAGAGGTGTTTCAGGCAATCAAGGAAGTAAGCTGATTGCCACTGCAAGCTAGCTGAACAAAGCTCAACAAAACTAAGGCACCACACAAATAAACAGGTATGACAGCAGGATTACTTCTTAGGACAGTACATATATGGAGTACTTTCCCATATCAAAGTTTAAAAAATTGTGTTGAACAGAATACTTGCCTGACTTTATCCCTGAATTTCACTATTGGCACTTTTGCTCTAATCAGCTGAGGTCGCTCAATGTAGCTTGCTGAAAGGGAGAAAAATATGCAATTAAGTTTCATGTAAGATGCTGATCTTAATAGAATATCCTAAAGTGGAGTCATATTGACTGATATATCACAAATAGGCTAAAATTCCTGGCTCACACTTGTTACCTTTTGCAAGCCTGAAACTGAAATAAGATGGAGTTTATACAAATTTTTAATCCACTCCCTAAACCTCCTAGAAGGAAATACTAATCTAACAACCACATTTAACTGTATATAAAGGATGAGAGAGAGCACTTAAAGTTCTGAAGTTGATTTACCTAACACAAATGGTGAAAGAGACTGATCTAATCAGCACTTGGAATGCTTCTTCATTTGGCAATCATGGAATTAAGGTGAAATAAGCAGAGAATCACATCTCCTGTTGCCTTTATTTTGGAATATACAGGAACATCACACAACAAAGAGGAGGATGCTATGAGGCACACATAGAAAAAATTGAAATGATCTGGAAAAAGGTTAAAAAAACTCTTGAACTTTACCTATATCACAAATCTCCTCCTTATTTCTTTTTGTCCTTTAAATCTTTCACAAAACCAGAGCAAGTACTTAATTTTAAGTAGCATCTTATCTTTCTTTCTCTTGTTGTTTCTCTTACATCTTGGCACATACTTTATTAGCTTTGATGTTTGGCCCAAACTATGTTTATTTCCATTCTCTTGTGTGAAGCACGGGAGAGTCTTGCATTCCAGGGAAACCCAGATTAAGTTTTGGACTCCTTATGCAAATGTCAATATACAACAGTAATAAGCATTAAATATCAAATGTCTATTCTGCAAAGCATCTATCAAATAACTCTTCAAAGTGAGCTGTTAAAATCTGTGTGTGCTCGCCCGCCAATGAGGAAATTTTGAAGATTAAACTTAAATTTATGGTTTTTTCCTTTTAGCACTGCAGAATCGTTCAGAACATCAATACAAGGAGTAGCATCAAAGAATGTACCACAAGTCTGAGAAACAGGGTGATAAAGTCATTGATATCAGTAAATGTCTGGCTCTTTTACAATTCAAAGGATGATACAAAAGCCTCTTTGAAGTAGGAAGCTTTCACATTTAAATTAAGAACTGCCCCTGTGAATTCTTCATCTGAAGGGAGTCTAAACAACAGCTTACAAAAAGTATGAATTGATCTGTTTTATCTGTATGTGCTGGTACTATCAACATTTAGTGATTGCTTCATTAGGCACCTAAGGTAATTTCTTCACACCTATCAAGCCCTCCCTGCCCCCTAAAAAATCAATTCTACACAGTGACATCTTATTTTACAAATTCTTAAAGAGTATTTTTCCCAGGAAAGCAGTGCAATCTAAAAGAGTAGTAAGGGTTCACTAATAGAGGTTTCCCAAAGAGAAATCTATCCCCTTCTCATTGTGTTCCACAATTAAAAAGCCATTTGAGATATTACCTGTTACTGAAGTTGACTAGTTTTCGAGAAAACCATTATGTTTTCCTAATTACCATCACCAGTACCAAACAACATTACTAAATACTTATAGCTTTGCTGGAAACAGTACTATGATTAGAAGCTAGACAATATACAATTACATACAGTAGTTGCAACTGTGCATCAATACTTCTTCCAGAATTGCCAATAATCTTACCACCTCACTGTAGCCAGGAACTTACAAAGTTTAGTACTGAAGAGTTTTTGAACTGAGCTGAGTATACGTCTCGCTTCAGTCTTCTGATTCACCTGAAATATGATATTAAAAGTAAAGAAAAAAGTTTATATCTCTTATCTAAGTGTTCCAAGTAAGCATGCTTTGCTTTTAAAATGAAATTAATTCTGTGAATAAGACATGAACATGTACATCAACACATTCTACAGCCTACATATAGATTTATCACGGCAAATGCCAGATAGAACAATCTATATTTAATATTCAAAATAATTTAAAAATCACAGAATTAGGTGATAACCTAGCCCCACTTACACAAAAATGTACTCTCCTTCTGTTTAAATGATGCTTCAATTCTTTCAAGATTATGGTCTATTTAGATTTCTTTTTTGTTATATCTTTTCTCTCAAGCAAAATTCCACTCATAACATTTTCTATCACTAAAATATTTAAGATATTTTGCCTATCAAATTCCTTCTTATACTTGATCATTAAACTAGGTAGCTATGAAGCTAAATAATGATATAAAAAATTTGACTTACTAAAAGTTGTTTCTGCATCTAGAAAAAATTAGAGTTCTCTAAACAATTTTTTTCCTCGTTCTACACACTTACTTCTGCTTGGCTGTATTTTTTTTTCACTCAAATTGAAGGCAAAGCTTATTTTTTAAAGTTTTATTAGGTTTATAGGGTTGAATTTATATCTGCAACATTACTGGGCCCATAGTTCATAGCTATTATGAATGTAAAAATATGTTATTAAATCAAAAGGATTTAACCATCTGTTTATCATTTTGGAATCCAGCCTTTTAACAGCACACACATAAAACCAGACTTTGTTTTAACTATATAGTTTTAAATTACTTACTGGTTCTTCTTTAACCACCAGGCACAAATCACCATCACTACTACGAGTGCCAAATCCATTCAGAGAGGATCCAACCAAATAAAGTCTGCTCTCTGTAATAAAAGAATAACAGCAAATAACCATGATGTGACATATAACAGTTTCAGAGGAAGGAAAAACTGCGAACCTGAAGAACATTCAAGCCGCTATTAAGTAACTAAATTCAAAACATACGTGGAAAAATTAGCTGAATTTCTCTCTGGAGTTCTGTTCTGCAGAGCTCTTTGCTGTTCAAATCAGAGGCCTGTTGTCGACATGCTTGAAACAACTCCAAAACCTGTTGACTTAACTGGACACACACATCCAAAAAGTAAAGACACAGAGAAGCGAACACTCTTTCCTGTCAGATATGTAATTACATAAAACAAACACAGAAGTTATTTTTTTAATGCAAAAACCAGCATCACTTCACATGACCTCCTCCATTGTCTAGAGTTTTACTGCACTTAAATTTCATATTGATTAATACCCTCAAAGAAACTTCTGCTAGTTTTCAAATTTAAATTTGTTCAATTTTTTATAAAATTCCTATCCACAGGAAATAATTTTTGCATCATCAGTATCAGCAGCCTCTCAGGAAATAGGTAGTAAAAGACTAGAGCTATCTTCTGCTGACTTTAATGTCAACAGTTTGCCTACCAGTAGGTTAAAAAATTATTAAAAAAACCATTTTAAATTAGCTTTATTTTTTATCCCACACAAACTATTAAAGAAGTAGTCAGATCTTTGTTGGAAGGAGGTATTAATTATTTTTCTTTCACAATACTGCTATATGCTATATTCAGCAGGCACATTCATACCAAAAAAAAAAAGCTTCTCTCATGTGGATGCAAATAAAGTATCAAGACTGATTAGCCACATGTTTTTATTGTATTTATTTAAAACAAGAAACAGTTCAAAGCTACACTGTCCATCTAAAGAAGGCATTCTCTTCTATATTACAGAAAAGCTGCAACCATAACTTTTACATCCTCTTGAAAAGAGACAGAAGACATCCTTACAGGTCCAAAACTGTATTTATTCAGAATGCGCTTCTCTCATATTACCATGGAGTTTGTTTTTTTTTAAAATCTGGATTCTCCCCCCCCCCCCATATCATGTGAGAAATGGACCATTCCTCCAATTTTTACTTCCTGGAGCAGATATGTAGGTTTCCTGACATTAGTATGGAAACCAAACAACACAAGCAAATAACACGCTGACCTTCCCCACCCCTGAAAAAAGTGTTCCAAACCCAAGCACACACATGGGGTTATACAGAACTATAGCAGCAGCTACATTTATTGATATTCCTTCTAGTGACAGCTCAGCGATAAGAGACCCTGTTACACTGTCAAAAACCTTGCATAAATTTTTGTGGTCTCCCACAGCGCCTCTGGATTCTGCCTACTCAGAAGGCAGAAGTAAGCACAAGCACAGAAAGTTACTACCTCATCTTTGGCCAGAGGGAGCCTGGCTTCTGTAGGGTCTGGAAACAAAGTATCTTGCAAGGGAGGGACACATCTAGCTAAAGCTGGTGAGCCACGAGCGAGGAACGATGGAGACTGAATTGAAATTGGTCGTGGGAAGGAGTGTTGACGTTCTTCTGGTAAAGGCACGGCTTGGTTAACTACAGTTGTGTCAGAATTCTGTGAATCAATCCGCTGCCGTTTGACCTTATGTGAAACACTTTGTTCATTTTGCCTCCTAGAGAGAGGCGGGGGGGGGGGGGGAGGGAGAGAGAGAGAGAGAGTGAGTGTAATTCCTATAGTTCGCAGCTTAACCCTATGATTAAAAGACAGTTTCTACAAAGTTCAGATACCAACATTCAATGATGTACCTAGGTATTATCCTAGATATTATGTGAAACAAACCTGGAATGGGAAAAGAGACCACGCAACTGCCAAAGTGCAGTTACCCTAGAAGTGAATTGATGCAACTTAAAGGCAAGCATCAGCACTAACCAACTTAAACCCAAATGGCAGGTTTGGTTAAGTTGATTGCAAATCTCCCAACATGGCACAGCCTTCTATAAAACAGACTGCTCAAGAGGAAAAGATGCATGCAGCATGAAATGAGAAACTTCCTTAGTTCATGGGATAATTATAGTTCCTTACTCAGTTATAACTTAATAACATATTGTACTTATTTTTTCATCTGTTAGATCTGAAAGAGAAAGAGCATACAGGAAATAGTTCTGAAGACAGGTTACATAAACTTTTTTCCCTCTCAGCTGATTCACAGAATTATTACAAACACATATCAACTACTATACCTGAATCCGTATGTATGTTTGAATTTAACACTTTGTATTTGAAAAATAAAGCATCACATAAATAAGAAAATCAGGAAAAACATGTAATGTGTCATGAAAAATAAGACAATTAAAATCTTGAGGGTGCACTCTTTAACAGGAAAAGAACATTTGTTGACACACCTGCTTATAGTCAATTACATACAGACTACAATTTATTGTAGCATTAAAAAAATCACCTAAATCACAGGTCTGCAAGCCTACAGCTGTTGGAAGAGAAGACCTAGGTACAGGAAGTCACTTATGAGTACTAAGATTCTCAAAAACATGAATGCTTCACATTACCTGTTTCATTAAAAAAAGTATTCAGTATTGCAATTTTTAACATAACTCAAGTTGCATAAGTAATTGATACTAGATAAGCTTCGCCATGGGTACATTACAACCAGTGTTAGTCATATACATACAAAGAACTTACTTTCTTCCTTGAAACGATGTGAGGGTACCTGACGTAGACACTGGACTGGCATTTCCATAAGCCATTGGTTGCAGTGTAGCAGTTGAAGTAACAGTTGGAGTAGCTGCAAGGTTCCCACTCAAAAGAGCTCTAGAAAGACTACAGTCCATAACTATTATTATTAAGATAAGATGATTTTTATGGATTGGTAGTTCTTGTTAAATTAGTACTAAACTCTACAAGTCCTGTCATTTTTTCTCTTAGAAGCAATAAGTCTTTCTTTTCTATTCAAAACGAAAACATATTTTAGTATATGATATGTACTTCATTAAAAACCAGAAAATTATCATTCTTGACAGCACATGTGTAAGAAGGGGTTAGCAAACAAATTCACTTAAGGCACTGTTAAATTCAAAAGTCAAAAGAACACTATAGCGTCTACAAATATAGACCCAAGAATAGATGTTTCTTCCCCTTCACATCTTCTCCCTGTTCTTCCCAACAAACAAATATAATTGAAGCCCTTTAAAACTGAACTGTGGATTAACAGTCAGTGCAACGGCATTTCATGCACTATGTACAATGCAGGCGAGTGTTAAGACTTGCAGGTCACCAACAGAAATTATACAGCTCTGTTTTACAGGTGACACCTCCATATTTTTGAAGTTCAATGCAGTTTAATGTTAAAAATAGTGAAAACCATCCACCATAAACAGAAATACTTCTTTCAAACCCAATCATCACCTTACTGTACTTACACTGCAGTGCGAAAATTCAACGGAGGAACAGCAGTTTGCTGGTGAGAAAGAAGAGTAGGAGGTATATTTATGGGAAGCACATTGAAGAAATTACTCTGTTGCTGATGCTTTGAAGGGAAGGGTGGACGACCCAAGTTGGAAAAATTTGGGAACATGCTCCTTTCTACTTGAAGTGAACATGTATCCTTTTACCTACATGAAAAAAGAAAAAGAAAGAATGGTATTGAAATTAGGCAAAAAGAAATACTAGTTGCCTTTTAAAGTGTTGGTTTAAAATTCAAGTAATCTAGATTATACTTCCAAGAACTGCTACAGAGAATTGTCATTGCAGGCTAGCTTTTATTGCCTTTTAGGACAAGAAACTAAATAAAAATACTATACAGTCTAAAGTTTCACAATTGCTATTTACTTTATTTATGTTTAAAAATGGATTTTTATTTGCTCCTCTACGTTTTAAATTTAATTTTTGAAAAATTACATGTCACAAGGTATAAGAATGTTCATCTCAAGGAAAAGCAATGCATTACAGTGGAATATGTTTCATATTCAAACATTCCACAATAAGGTCCACAGTATATGGGAAGAAATACTTGACTACACCATAAGAACACGAAGATGCAGCAGATCACAATCTATAAGTTAATATTTTTTTCATGACACGACACATAAAGCAGCCAAATTATGACAGGAATTGCAAATAATCTCCTCATGCTTTAAGAATATCATACATATAGTAATATTTTACTGAATGGCCTCTGTGATAAAAAATATAGGTTTACTACCTTTTAAACTTAGAATTGATTCTGGCAAAACTGGCCACGTTTAACTTCCTGGGACAGCTTTGACTGTCACTGTAGGCAGCATTAGCACAGAGCGTAGGAAAATGAGTAACAAGGAGTTTATGTGCTCAGGTTTGACTTTGTTCCTTACTTCATGTGATGACAACCTACACTAGTGAAAACCCGGTAATACATACATGGAAATCACTGCAATATCTCCATGAAAAAAAACTATCAGGATTAATGCTCTCACAGTTCTTCCTCTTTCTTTTTTTTCCCCCTCTTTGGAGAGGTGGATGAGGGGAAGCATTATGTACTAATGTAAGTTATTATTTGCATGTTCACTTTCAATTCTGCCAAACGAACGAACCGAACTGCACGTCAACAAAGTCACTTGACATTCACATTTAATATGAATGTTATTTATGTGCTGTCTAAACTCTTTCATTTCTCGTAGACAGAACAACTGTTAACACGCCTCATTCCTCTCTGAGCAGACCAGGCACTCTTCACACCACACACAGGATACGAAAGCCGTTTATGGAAACAATTAGCTAGTAATGGGACCATTCATGAGAATCCAAGAGGTGCAGAAGAAACACCATTTAGCCTTTGAAGCAGTAAATACCAGGAAGAGAAACAGCGGACGAGTTACCTTTCTCACACCAAAACAACGCAACACCGCTACCTCACAGCAGCGACAGTGACAATTACAGTGCCTTCCGGCAGAGACTACATCGGCAGGAACTACCAGGCTCTCCAGAAAGAGTTTCATAACTTACAGTCCCGGTACCATTGTCCCGGCGGGCACCGTTTCCAAACCAGTGCGTTCTTCTCGCAGAGCCAAGTGCCCCGTGCAGGGAGCCCGGCCCGCGGACCCCCGACAGCCCCTGGTGACACCGCCAGGACAGGTGTCCGGTGCCACTGCCACGCCTGCGGCCCGGGTCCGACCCCCGGCACCGCTCCCTGTCACATCCACACGGGATACTCACGCCAAGCCTGGGTGGAGGCACGCGGGGCGGGCCCGCGGGCAGCAACGAGCAGGGCCGGCAGCGGAGACCAGCTCTGGCAGCTGAGCGCCGCTCTGTCTGCCGGATGCCGGGACGCCACAGGAAGCGTCCGGGATGCGGCGGAAGGACTCAGGATGCGGCAGGAAAGGCCCGGAATGCGGCAGGAAGGTCTCGGAATGCGGCAGGAAGGGAAGGGCCCCTTCCGCCGGCTCCCGCGCCACTTCCGCACCGCTACGGGCAGACGCCCCTTAGGGGCCTGGTTGGGCGGAGAGCGGTGCGCATGTGCGGGGTGGGCGGTGCGCATGGGCGGGGTGGGCGGGGTGGGACAGGGACAGGGAGGGGCGGGAGGCGTGGTAACAGTGCCAGCCGGGCATAGCCGGGCTGTGGGAGTTATGTCCGTGCAGCTGATGTGCTTTCTGCAGGTGCTGGCCGACTGTAATTGAGCTGCCGTTCAGGAGCGTGTCAAAAGTATAGTATTTGGCTAAATCAGTTAGGATTGTAGGTGTGCTAGGATAAACCCAAGGTCACGAACGGGCTGAAATGCCTGCACCCTGAGGAGTGAAAAGTTCGGAAGACAGAAGCAGAATCTCAGAATCATCAAGGCTGGAATAGAGTTCATCCAGCCACCCACCAGCGCTATCTCTGTAACCACTAAACCATCATCCAGCACCAGAACCAGTCACTCCTTGAGCATCTCCATGGATGGTGTCTGCATGACCTCCCTGGGCAACCTGTTCCAATGCCTGACTACCCTAACAGTGAAAAAAAAATTTCTAATACCTGCTCTGCATCCCCTCTGTCTCAGCTTAAGGCCATTTCCTCTTGCCTTCTCACTGCAGGCAGAGGCCTGTCCCCACCTCACTACAACTTCCTTTCAGGTGGTTGTAGAGAGTGATGAGGTCCCCCCAAGCATCCTCTTCTTGAGACTAAACAAAGTGAGCTCCCTCAGCCATTCCCCATAAGATACGTTTTCCAGACCTTTCACAAGCCTTATTGCCCTTCTCTGGATATGCTCCAGCACCACAATGTCCTTCTTATCACTATTCCTTCTTCAGGACAATTACTGGAAGTGGGCTCTTGCCATGAGCAGGTACTGAAACAGTGAGCTGCTGCACACCTATGCACACACTGTTGAAGCTCCCCCCTTTGAGAGGGAAGGAGTAAGTTGAGGTCTTGTTCGGTTTTGAGTTTCTTGCTTGAAGGCTTGCTCAGCTGACAGCAGGCAACTGCTGGGGTTGTCACACTTTGAGACTGGCTACTCACATACAGACCTAGTGGATAACAAAGAGACAAAACACAGGGGCCCAATGAAATGGGTCTATAAATGAACTGGGAAGGGAAGGCTTGGGCTGCGAAAGGACTTAATCACCTTGGCTGTGGCATGGGAACTTTGTGTAAGGGTCAGCCCATGGCTATGGTTAGCATTACATTTATGAGAGACAAATTTTAGGGTCATACATGGAACGAAGCTGCAAGACAAAGTTCAGCCACAAAGACATTTCTCTTGAGAATTTTTTATTCAATCATTTTGACTATTTACTAGCCAAAGCACATGGCAAGGGTTAAGGCTAAGTTTAGGGTTCAGAGAGAGACAAAATCTATAGGTCTAGGTGACATGGCGCTGTGGAGAAGCTTCTAAGGGAGAGTTTGGACTGCAGAAAGTGTTCTGGGCAATTTTAGAGTTAGAAGAGAGACAGTTCCTGGGGGTCTAGTTGTGGTGGGTCTGCAGAGGGACTGCCTAGGGGTGGTTCTGCAGAAGAATTACTCTCAAAACTTGAATCAGGGCCATGTTTGGGTTTGCCTAGGGTTAAGGCCTTGGGCACTTTTAGGGCAAGGAAGGGACAGTTCCTAAGGGTTTAGCTGAAGTGGGGCTGCTGAGAGAAGGTCTGGGCTGCAGAAGGAATTCTCAGGGAGCATTTTTATCTGAGCCACATTTCAGTCTGTCTGGTGTTAAAGGTCTTCTAGCACTAAGGTTCAAAGAGAGACAAGGCCTAGAGATCTCGGTGAAGCGAGGCTGCAGGCAGGCTGTCAAGGGAAGGTGTGGGCTGCCAAATCAGTTCTCTCCTGGAACTTTTTCATCTGTGCTACAATTTGGGTTTTCTGTGTTTAAGCTCTACCTTAAAGGCTACCTGGCCAGGGTTAGGATTAGAAGAGAGACAAAGCTGAAGGGTTCTGTTGTGGGGGGGCTGCAAAAGGCTTCTAAGGGCAGATTTGGGCATCACACAGAACTCCCCTTAGAGCTTTTCCATCTTGGGTGTGGTTTGGGGTCTTTGGCTAAACTCAGCCCACAGTTAACATAGGGGTAATGGATATGGTTCATAAATGATACAACGCCCTGGTGTCATTTGTGGTTGGAGGTGATAAGGATTTGAATTGGGACACATTAGGATGAAAGAAGAGTTGTCCCTTGGGGAGTTCAGTCCCAAGATATCTTAAACAGAGAACAAGTAGAAAAATAGATCTTTTGTTTCCTGAGAATCCTACCAGTGCCTGGTTAAGCAGAACTTGGATTTTGATCTGTGTGCTGGTTTTGTCTGGGGTAGAGTTAATTTTCTTCACGGTGGCTTGTATGGGGCTGTGTTTTGGATGTATGCTGAAAACAGTGTTGATAGTATAGAGACTTTTGTTATTGCTGAGCAACACTTACAGCAGAGTCAAGACCTTTTCTGCTTTCCGTACTGCCATGCTGGTGAGGAGGCTGGGGGTACATGGGAGGCTGTGAGGAAACACAGCTGGGACAGGTTACCCAAAATGACCAAAGGGATATTCCATACCATTTGACACCACGCTCAGTACATAAAGTTGGGAGAAGAAGGAAGAAGCCAGGGGCATTTGGAGTTATGCTGTTTGTCTTCCTGAATAACAGTTACTCACGATGGAGCCCTGCTCTCCTGGAGATGGCTGAATACCTGCCTGCCCATGGGAAGCAGCAAATTAATTCCTTGTTTTTGCTTTGCTTGCATGCACAGCTTTTGCTTTCTCTATTAAACTGTTGTATCTCAACCCATATGTTTTCTAGGTTTTACCCTTCTGATTCTTTCCCAGATCCTGATGGTGGGGAAGTGAGCAAGTGGTTGTGTGGTGCTTGGTTGCCAGCTGGGGTTAAACCACAACAATCTGGAACTCAGCTCTCTTTCTATACTATTTGTTTGGAACCAAAGGAATAATTTCTGCTCAAGGCAGAAACTTCATGTCTTAACAGTTAGAAGTCAGTGATACAACTCCTTATAGCTGGAGTTCTCTATGCAGCCCGTTCAAACAGTGTTCTCCAGACCATTTGACCTCTCTTCTCACCATAATCTATCCATTAACCAATAACATGTCACTCTTCTAGGATTCTCACATTTGCCATGGGGCCTACAATAAATATAACCTAACACAGTCAATATACCTCATAGCAGGCAGTGTTTATAGCAGTGTATTAAGCATCAACATTTTTTTATACAGCAAAATGGAAAAAAAAAGAAAAAAAAATTAAAAAGAAGATTTAGGAATGCCTTTACCCAATTAAAGTAACTTGTGTTGCTATGTTTTTTCCTGGTCTCCTTCTGCCCTGCTCCTTGGCAAAAGGCACCCTTGTATTTTGTGTTTATATCAATCTATTATTACCAAATAACTTTTTTTTTCTGGTTCAGGCTGTTCACTCTTAAGGATGTTTTTTTCCGTGTCTTACCTGCATTGACTTGTCAACATAGCTACACATTTCAGTGAGGCACCTGACATAACCTGACATTTTACAAATTGCCAACAGTCTTATGAGACAAATCTCTGTGCTTTGATGTGCTGAGAGCTGTTCTATTTTTCAGTATCTGCTGTCTTACTTCCTGACCCTGACTGTGATCTCAGACAGTTTACAGATCCTCTTCTGTCAGAAAAGACATACAAAGCCTTACTTCTGGATTTAGTCAGGAGTCAGGCTGCTGGACAAGAGACACTCAGCTGAACAACTTTACAACAAGGAATTTGAGAATTTGCACCAGTGATTCCAACAGATTCCCCCAAACAGAATAGCATTAGGACTGGTGTAAAACTCCTGCCCCGGGAGTTGCTGACTCATGGAATTGGCTAAGAGCTTTACTTTAATATATAGATATAGGGTTCTTTAATACCTTGAGATAGCAACTGGCTTGTTTCCAAGGAATTGCTTTATTCATTTAGGGGAGTAAATAAGGGGATTTGTCCAAAGTTCAAAAGGACACCACACAAGCTAGACAAAATGTTCCACCACAATACTGATTCAACATATACTATTAATCCACAACACTTAAATCAAGATCTAATCCCTCCAGCTGTAAACCACGCTAAGTATCAAGAAAGGAGCAGAGAAAGAGAAACAAAGGGATCAAGAAGAGAGAAGGAGAAAGAGGGAGAGACAGATTTTAGAGCTACCACTGAAGCCTTGTAGAAGACCAGCTCTCACAGGTCCAAGCGGCAGTGCTGCAATACGAGGCAAACACATGCCCTTGGTTTTATTTGCTCTGGTCTCTATGGCCAACCTCTCCAGCCACTCTGGGGTTCCAGGTCAGGGTGAGAAACAGTGTTCTCACTGTCCCTGCCAACCTGAGGCTGGGTTAGGGGCTCCAGCAGATGTGGTGTGTTATAGTTTTCCCAGGCTGTTTGTGACTGACAGCAACTCTGGGGCTGTTCCATGTGGGCTCCAGGGGCTGCCATGAGGGATACAACACCACCCTACCTCCATGAGGTTCAACCCGTCCCTTCCCCCTCCACACACACACACACATGCACACACCCCCCACACATTCTCCCCACAAATGGGTTCTGACCCATTAATAACTTATCCGGTGTTGTCTAACAACTGATCCTGTGTTTCTGCCTTAAAAGAGACTTGTTTTAGAATAAAAATGGTATATTTATGGTAAAAGAGGAGTTTGTAAGACTAATTTATTGGAAAAACAAAAAATAACCTGAATGATCAATGAAGGAAATTTATGATCTATAATAGAAGCAGAGTCTGAATTCAGCCTCCATAAATTATATTTTGCTCTGAGAGATAGGAAAGAGAGTGTTTTCCAGAAGTAATTGACAAAGAGGTCTCTGATAAACCATTTGCAATCTCTCTCATAGAAT